CAGAGCCCCCTCTGACCCTCCGCCCTCAGTGTCCGCCGCCCCTCAGCAGATTGGGGGAATGGTGTGGGACTTCCTGGGAAAGTGAGTGCTCTGTCCTGGCACCACGGCTCGGCTGCATTGATCTATCTGTGACTGCAACGGCTGTGCGCCTGTTTGATTTAATGCTGTCTCTTGTTCACTGCATTGTTTAACTAAAAAAACTGATAAAACATGTTTATTAATCATTATAATGATGTAAATAAGTGCCACATTGCATTGTTGGAAAATCAGTGGACCGAGACAGCTTAGAAAAGAAGTGCTTGTATATTTTCTGCTGTTTCTTGCACATGTACATGGTTCACTTCCAATCTTCAGTGAGATGTCTCATTGTCTAATAGATAGTTGACATCTTGAGCATTTTGTGATGCTATTTGGGATTGCCTTTTATTGACAGGTTAGCACTGAAATGTATATAATACACTCAAAAATAAAATGGACCTTTGCTGCTTCTTCAAAATATTTTAAAAATGAGTTGAGACAACACAATTCTTAAGTTTTTGGGGGGACAACTTTTGTTTTAACAATTGTTTTATGTTCAATCCAATTGAAAAAAGTTAACTTAACATGAAAAATTTGTGTGAAACCCAGTATTTTTTTACAGTGCTATCAAAGACAAACTGATAAAAATGCACTGTAAAATAGTTTTTTTTTTAATCAACCTTTCTAGTCATCTAATATCAGTCAAACAAAAAATATGTTAAACTTTGTTTAGCTAAAAATGTTTAATTGAAACTTTATTAATTTAAAGTAACAAAAACAATGATTGTTATTATATTTTGTGAAATGATTTTTACAGCGTGAGACAAATTTCATTTATTTAAAATTAATTTATGACAAAACATTTCAAAAAAATTTCTTTTAAAAGGGGTATTTATCTGAAATATACTGACAAATGTAAAATGCGTATCACTATTTTATTAAAAATATAATAATAATAATAATAATAATAATAATAATAAAAGTATTTAAAATATTTAAAAAAAAAAACATGTAAAAAAATTATCAAATCTGCATTGTTGTTTTTTTAATTAGCCTTAATAACAATAATAATAATAATAGTAATAATAAAAGTATTTAAATATATTTAAAAATACATTTTCAAATTTAATAAAAATCTGCATTGTTTTTTTTTGTTTTTTTTAATTAGCCCTAATAATGAAGCCTTAATAATAATAATAATAATAATAATAATAATAATAATAATAATAATAATAATAATGGGCAGCATGGTGGCTCAATGATTAGCACTGTCGCCTCACAGCAAGAAGATCGCTGGCTTGAGTCTTAGCTTGGTCAGTTGGCGTTTCTGAGTTTGCATTTTCCCCCATGTTGGAGTGGGTTTCTCCGGTTTTCCTCACAGTCCAAAGACATGCGGTACAGGTAAATTGGGTAAGCTAAATTGTCCGTAGTGAATGAGTGTGTATGGATGTTTCCCAGAGATGGGTTGCAGCTGGAAAGGCATCCACTGCATAAAACATGCTGGATAAGTTGGCGGTTCATTCCACTGTGGTGACCCCAAATTAAAATAAAGGACTAAGCCAAAAAGAAAATGAATGAATAAATGAATGTATGTGTATTGGGTGTTTCCCACTTCTGGATTGCAGCTGGAAGGGAATCTGCTGTGTAAAACATATCGTGGATAAGTTGGTTGTTCATTCCGCTGTGGCGACCCCTGATGAATAAAGGGACTAAGCCGTAGAAAAATGAATGAATGAATGAATAATAATAATAAATATATTTTCAGCGACAAACAAGCATATTAGCCGGATTTTTGAAAGATAATGTGACAATTAAAAATGGAATATTCATTCATCAACAATCAACATCAAATAATTTATATTTATCTTCCCATGAATTACATTTTAAAATATATTAAAATAGGGCGTCATGGTGGCGCAGTGGGTAGCACGATCGCATCACAGCAAGAAGGTCACTGGTTCGAGCCCTGGCTGGGTCAGTTGGCATTTCTGTGTAGAGTTTGCATGTTCTCCATGTGTTGCCGTGGGTTTCCTCCGGGTGCTCCGGTTTCCCCCACATTCAAAGACATGCGGTATAGGTAAACTGTGTAAGCTTAACTGGCTGTATTGTATGTGTGTAAATGAGTGTGTATGGATGTTTCCCAGTGATGGGTTGCATCTGGAAGGGCATCCGCTGAGTAAAAAGCATATGCTGGATAAGTTAGCAGTTTATTCTGCTGTGGCGACCTAGATTAATAAGTGACTAAGCTGAAAAGAAAATGAAGGAATAATATATATATTAAAAGAGAAAATAATACAAATAGCATTATTGTTGTTTTTTAAAAGCCGCCTCACTGAACTGATATTTTCTTTTAGGAATATACTAATAAATTATATCAACCCAAAACTTTAAGAATTTTTAAAATCAAGCTGTATATGCACAAACAGACTCCCTGTTAGAAGTCCACTTAAATGGCACCTAGCTTGGCAACTCATTGGGCTTTGGAACAGAAGTTGTATGTGTGCATCAGTCAGAGTGCATGTTTTCTTTTATCATTATATCTGTTATATAATATGTGTTTTTAGTGTGTGAAGTATCTCAGATTTGATCAAAATGTTTCCTCAGTTTTAGCACTTTACTTTTCTTTCACTTTGTGCTAGATGTGTGAAAACTGCACTTCTGATACTGTGTCTGTTGTGTTGATGTTGGCATGGCAACATGTAAATGTGTCATCTTCAAAGGCACACTGAGATTAAAGCGACGGTTCACTTAAATTGCGTTCTTTTTTGATGGAACAAATAAGAAAGTACTTTGAAGACTGCGTGGTAGCCAAACCTTTTTAATCATTACTGACTTCCATTTTATGGACAAGAAAATACACTGGAAGTCATTATTTTTCCAACATAGGCTCATTCTGAAAACGTAGCCCTATATACATTTCTGGAGATCACAACGTATGGCTGCATGTCATCTTTAAAATGAACACTGCAGAGGGGTATGACGGCCATTTCTTTTCTGGCTTACCAGCTGATCGCTTACCTCTGTAGGACGACTTTTCCTGCTGTTACCAGTTTGTCTAGTGGCTCGCCACGTATGTGTCACGAAATAGGGAATGATCACAAAATGCAAAAATCCAAGTGCAGCAATTTATTATAACAAAGACTAAAGTTTCCAAAAGACAAAGGTTTCCAAACTTGAACAGAACTAAAGCAGGATGCAAATCTAGTCCAAACAAGAGAACAGGCAAAAATCCAAAAACGAGTAAACACAAAAAACAGGGTAGGAGTGCTAAAGAAAACAAACACAAAACAGGAATCCAAGAATTATCAAAATACAAAAACTATATGACCAGACAAACATACCAAACGTGAGGAGCACAAAATCCTAAGGCAACTAAAACAGAGAACAAGAGGGTTTATAAAGACAGGACTAAATTAACAAACATGAAACAGCTGTAACAACACAATCAGTGATATAAAGGATTATGGGAAATGAGGTGAAACTACAAAACAAACAAGTGCCCTCAAGTGTCCAAACTAGGGCACTGCAACAGGTGTGACAGTATATCGACGGACTTGAGATGCAGAGCGGTGTTGACCCCAATGAGGGGGTTCAAATCCGGTGAAGAACGGTTCTAGAAAGCGGATGAGACAAAAACAAAAGCTGAAAAATGAAAGAAACTATAGTAAATAACAAGATGAGAATGTGGCAAAATCTGAAATCAGAACAAAACTTTTTGATTTTCAGCATTCTTCAAAATATCTTCTTTCATGTTCCATTGAAATAAAAAGCTTATATCATTTGGAAAGACATGAAGAAATAAATAAATAATGCCAAAATTTAAACGTTTAAGTGAACTCTCCCTTTAAAAAGTGCTATTTTACTAAATCTTCACTGCAAAAAATGCCTTTCTTACTTAGATTTTTTGTCTTATTTCTAGTCGAGATTTCTTACAAATATTTAATCAAAACGCATTTCCTAGAGAAGTTTTCTTGTTTTAAGACATAATATCTCAAAAGTAAGTGAGTTTAAAAAAAACAAAAAACTAAAAAAACAAGCAAATAATGTATATGGGGTGACCAAAATGATTTAGTTTTATCTTTTGACATAAGTTTATTTAGGTTACCTAATCAATAGATTATTTAGCTATTTTTAAGGAAAAACTCACTTATTTTGACACTATTTCTTAAAACAATACAAAATGTTTTTCTTGTCTAGAATATGCGGCTTGATTAAAGAATTTTAAGATGTTTGTACAAGAAACAAGTGCTAAAAGCATTTTTTGCAGCGTTAATGTATTTTTTCTCCACATACAGCACTCATGCTTCAATGATCGATATGCTTCCCGCTTGGTGTTGCTTTCATACAAGGGCTCTGGCAAAGATCTGAACCCTGTTTTCTTCCCTTGAACACCCATTTCACATGCTGATCTGCATCTCCTCTCCTCTTTCTGCTTTTCTAACACAATCTCTCCTCTCACTCCTCTGAATGAACCACCAACCTGCGACAAAATATCCTCTGAAACGGCCTGCATGAGACGTCGGGGCAGCACCTCGGGCCTGTTGTGCTCAGTGAATGAGCTGGGTATTTTAGACAGGGTCTGGTGTTCCTCTAGTAGGTTTGCACACCCTTATGCCTGAGCACTCTTTCTCTCGCCCCGTTTGCAATTCCTCACCGCGGCTCGGCTGGTTGGGTTGCTGCATGTTGGCACTCTCACGGGTCCCTGCAGATCTGGAATCAGTGGCGAATGTACCCACTGACGGTGATGATTTGAGATTTGATGCCGTCATGCATCCTGCCTTGTTGACTTTTTAGGAGGTGTTTTTAAAACCACTCCTAGTTTGCGTCTGGACTCTTTCCAGCTGTTTTCTGTTGGGTTTTTGGGTGTATTCTAAAGTTTTATTTCTCCTTTCCTTTCCTGTTTGCTGTGTTGTGGCTTCTCTTCCTTCCCGTTCCTGCCCTTCTTCTTGCATCCTTCCTCCCTCCTCTTCCTCCACCGTCAGTCTCGCTCCCAGGTAAGTAGGGTGTTTCTCTGGTGTCCAGCGTCCCTTCTGAGCAATAACCAAGCGTGTTTTGGGTCATGTGATGTTACATGGTTATCATGTTTGCATTTGTGTGGTGTTGTGATGGTTCTCATTTCATGGTGATGTCGTGTTTTGTTATTTGCTTTCACTGATCACAGACATTCACTTAAAAGCAATGCTGTCTCATGGCAAATTTTGATTTGGTGGCTATTTCGTATGAATTTGTACGATCTCAATTGTACAATTTAGGAGGATTTGCTCATCCCCCAATGATGGTTGGGTTTAGGGGTGGGGATTGGTTTGGTGCCACACGTCCTTTTAATAATCCTACATTTCGTAAGACTGAACTTGTATGAATTTGTACAAATTAGCCACTGAATTGGCAAAACGTAAAACAGTTATGCTTCCTCCTGAGATCAAACACACTTTATAAAGTTATTATATAACAAAGGTCAGACTAACAGGCATTTGCAAACAAAGGAATTTTTTTTTTTTTTCTTGTGTAAATACAGTTGAAGTCAGAATCATTAGCCCCCCTTTTAATTTTTTTTCTTTTTAAAATCTTTTCAAAATTATGTTTAACAGGCAAAGGGAATTTTCACAGTATGTCTGATAATATTTTTTCTTCTGGAAAAAATCTTATTTGTTTTATTTCAGCTAGAATAAAAGCAAACAATAAAAACATTTTGATGGGCAATATTATTAGCCCCTTTAAGCAAAATGTTTTCTTCGATAGTCTAAAGAGCAAACCATCATTATACAATAACTTGCCTAATTACCCTCACCTGCCTAGATAACCTAATTAACCTAGTTAAACCTTTAAATGTCACTTTAAGCTGTAAAGAAGTGTCTTGAAAAATATCTAGTCAAATATTATTTACTGTCATCATGGCAAAAATAAAATAAATCAGTTATTAGTGATGAGTTATTAAAATTATTCTGTTCAGAAGTGTGTTGAAAAATTTTTTTCTCTCTGTTAAACAGAAATTGGGAGGAAAAAAATACAAGGGGGGGAATAATTCTGACTTCAACTGTATCTAAACATTCTTAACCCAGGATGCATTCATTTGAGAACCAAAATAAAGATTAAATTGTCAATTCATTCTTTCTTTTTATATTCTCAGTTAACAGAATTCTCAGTTTCTTTGGATTTATTATATTTGAATTTGAGTATATTTTTAATATTTGTTTTGTATATAAAGGTCTGATAATATTTCTTTCAAATTGAGAGCTTACATATGAAAAAAAATGTTCAGTTTTTTTTTTCTTGTGCATAAATCCACTTAATTCTGATGTTTTTTTTTCTCAGAAATTAACATTTAAAGGCACAGTCCACCCTAAAATAAAATTCTGTCCTTTTACTTTTATGACTTTCGTTATTCCATAGAAGTTGAACCAAACTCAGTTTGGTTCAGAAACGTTCAGTTTCCCCTGACTTTCACTATATTGACAAAAATACTAAATTTGGTATCACCCCAGGTAGCAAAGAATTCTGGTCCAGATTTGGCATAAAGCTGACACAGCAGGCATTCATCCGGCTTTGGCAAACAGCATGTGGGCCAAACTTGGCGCAGGTTTGACAGAGGTGGCACCGTCTTTAAGGTGACACACAACACATGGGCCAATGTTAAATGTAGTATTTGGACCAGATGTTAAAAGTTAACACGTGGGCCACATAAGTTTGTCTTGACCCACATTTAAAATACATTTAAATAATTTTTTGAGTGAAGAAATATTTTGATGCACAAAATAACTGAACCTAACCTACATTACATATATTTTATTAACCAAATTATTATTTTACAATTTATATTATCATTAACCATTACTAACAGTTACCATTATTATCTTTGCATTTAAAAACTGAGCGAATGACACTTAATGACGGTTGCTACAAGCATGCATAACATCCCAGTCACATGTCATGATTATAAAGGTTTCATGACAGTCTTATGAACACCCCTTCAAGTAAAGTGTTACTCAAAGTTTTGCTTAATTTTGCTTCTCAAGCAATTGTATCTTGATTTTAATATGTTCAGACTTTTGTGCTGTAAAACAAGAAAAAAAAATTCAGGAATGATGTGATTAATTTGTTAACATTTTTCTAATAATTATTTTGGATCATTATATTATAATTAATTGCTTCAGAATTCAATCCGATGTTTCTGGTAACATTATGTATGCTTTCCAAGGCAAACCAAGGATCAAATTAAAAAGGGCCCAGGAATCAAGCTTGGCCCTCAGATGGACAAAAAAGGCCCAGGGAACATCTTGCAAGACCAGCGCAAGGATAACCCAATGGACAACCCAAAGGTTTGTGCTTTATTTATTCATCCAAATGGATGATGCCTTTGTATTTCCACTCAGCTCAATGATTGTCTCTCCCTTTATATCACAGATGGAGGAGTTGATGAATGTTTTAGAGAAGACAAGGCAAGAACTGGATGCCACCAAACAGCGTCTGTCCTCCACCCAACAGTCTCTGTCTGAGAGAGACGGCCATCTGACCAACCTCCGACAGGAACGCAGAAAACAGCTTGAGGAGATCTTAGAGATGAAGTAAGACATGCTTTTAATCCTACAAAAAGGTTTGAAGGGGATCCTATAATAGGGGTGATTCTGTAACTAGAGTGCTGCATTTTGCATTTCAAAGATTTTAAAAAGAGTATTTTTTTCTAGGTTTTTTTATTGTAAACAAAAAATGTGTCATACAGTTTTCTTGTTAACTATATTATGTTTTAACTGTAATATAGTTGACAATTTCTAAACTTGTTATCCAAAAGTCTTACCTGCTAGCATAAATGCAAAGAGTGCATGCCACTAATGAAATAATGATTATAGTTTTAAATATAGCTACAATCAGCAATAAAGCTGAACCTCGCAAAAACGGAAATGCTTGTAGTTTCTGCCAACTCGACTCTACACCATAACTTTTCAATCCAGATGGACGGGGCAACCATTACTGCATCCAAAATGGTGAAAAGCCTTGGAGTAACGATTGATGACCAACTAAACTTCTCTGACCACATCTCTAGAACTGCTCGATCGTGCAGATTCACACTCTATAACATCAGAAAGATCCGACCCTTCTTATCTGAACATGCAGCTTTACTCCTTGTTCAAGCTCTTGTTCTCTCCAAACTGGATTACTGCAACTCTCTACTAGCTGGGCTTCCAGCTAACTCTATCAAGCCTCTTCAACTGCTCCAGAATGCAGCAGCACGAGTGGTCTTCAATGAACCTAAACGAGCACATGTCACTCCGCTGCTACTCCGTTTGCACTGGCTGCCAGTTGCTGCTCGCATCAAATTCAAAGCTCTGATGTTTGCCTACAAAGTGACTTCTGGCCTTGCTCCTTCTTATCTGCTCTCGCTTCTGCAGATCTATGTGCCCTCCAGAAACTTGCGTTCTGTGAATGAACGTCGCCTCGTGGTTCCATCCCAAAGGGGGAAGAAATCACTTTCGCGAACGCTCACGCTCAATCTGCCCAGTTGGTGGAATGAACTCCCTAACTGCATCAGAACAGCAGAGTCACTCGCTACTTTCAAGAAACGACTAAAAACTCAACTATTTAGTCTCCACTACACTTCCTAATCTGTAATTGCCTCTTTGAATATAACACTAACTGTACAAAAAAAAAAAAAAAATACTAATACTACTAATACTTCCCTTCTTAGACTTTACAGACCTGAAACTTGCTTATAGCACTTATTCATTGTTGCTCTTGGTTGTGTAAATTGCTTCCTTGTCCTCATTTGTAAGTCGCTTTGGATAAAAGCGTCTGCTAAATGACTAAATGTAAATGTAAATGTAAAGGGGCTAAGCAGTTCAGAGCCATAAAGAGCAAATCAGTACAGAGGCTAAATGAGCAAAGCAGTCCAAAAGCCAAAAGCAACACGGTTAGTGAGTAGCATCAGGCCGAGTGAAACCTTGAGTTTTTTAAACACATTTGAAGTATGTTTTACTTAAAATATCAAAAATCAAGAAAACAATCAACATATTAATGATTTATTGGTTTAAAACTTTTGATCAATAGGTGGCAGAGTTACAAATTTGATGTTAGATGACAATAATGCATCTAAAGTTTGGTGTCAATATATTTAAGCATTGCAAAGTCGCAGCCTCAGATTCACTTTGACATCATGCTAGCACATTTGTCGATGCCGTAAATGACAACCGTTTCACTGATCAATATGATTTCCATAACTTTCGGTCAGCATGGTCTGAAGATGGTTCGAGTCAAATTTGGTGGCAACTAATTTTTTGAACAAAATCAATAAGGCGGACAGGATGTTAGTCCAAATATGGCATATTTGGTATCAATGTTCTCAGCATGACCCAAGGAATAAGACGATCAATTTTACCACAATAAACCTATGCAATCAACATTTATTCATTATTGATGGTTTGTTAAGGGTTTATAAAGCATGACCACTAGGTGGTGCTGTTATCAAATTTATGCATTGTGGTTATTGTGAGGTGTCAATGACACACCTAAAGTTCAGCATCAATGTTCAAACATTGCAGAATTACAGCCTCAGACAAACTTTGACCTCGTGCCAGCATATTTATCGGTGGCATAAATGAAAACCATGTCACGTATAAACATGAATTCCATAACAATTTGCTAACATGGTCTGAAGAACATATGCGATAGATTTGGTGAAAATTGAAAAAAAAAAAAAAAACGGTCTAAAAAGAGTTAGAAAAAAAATAGGTTTTCAATCAAAAACAAAATGGCGGAGAGGGAGTTTAGTTCATTTTGACATATTTGGCATCAGTGGTCTCTGCATGATCCAGGGAATATAGTAGACACATGTCATGTCAATGAGGAAAGTTTAGAAAAAGTTATTAGCATTTTTAAAAAATTGCTTATAACTTTTGGCCACAAGAAGGTGCTGATCCAGAAGTTTTTTAGTACCTCAGGGCATGGTGTTGAAGATGCATACCATGTTTTGTAATGATACGTGAAATTGTTTGTAAAAAATAGCATTTTTTGACACCCAAAATGGCTGATCTGGGAAAATCTGACATCATTCAACTTGGCATGCTCTGTCAAATGTGAAGAGACCAGTTTTTCATTGCGCATTTATCAATGCGTTACGGAGATATCGCCTCAAGTACATTTTTGCAAGCTCTACATTAGATTTGTTCGCAAGTTAAACAAAAACAGTTCGTCTTGATCAACTTGAATTCCGTTACTTTTGGTTAGCATGATCTGTAGAAATAGGTTTTGCAAAAAATTCTAAATAGCGAAAAAATCTAATAATGAAAAATGACGTCATATGGTGCATTTGTATCGACTTGAGCCAATAAATCGAGGGAATTTAAAAAAAAATTTGCCTAAAGCCCAGGCCCTGGATTAGCTAATCGGGAGCACAGGGAGTTTTCCCAGTGGGCTGGTTCATTTTTTGGCCAGGGGCCGGTGTCCCTAGCTGCCTGCACTCTGAGCAGTCTCACTTTTTTGATTCCTTTATTTATTTGACCATAGCCTCAATATTTTTAATCATTATTTTACCGCTGATCCACTCTTTTTATTTATTTTCTCGCAGTCCTATGAGCAGAACAGCAGAATGCAGCCTGCAGGTTAATGATATCAAATAAAGAAATCTATATAGTCTGTTTCTTGTCAGACTTTTTTATTTTCACTCAGAGATACATAAACAAATTAAAGAAAATTAAACAAAATATAACCTCAAATTTCAACCATCACGGATGCAGTTAAGAAAACTGTGTGACTCTGCTGTCTTCTAAAGAACGCACTGCTGGCAAATTTGACATTTACGCAGTTCTTAAAGAGCCCGCACACAATTTTTTAACATGTTACAAATCCTCAATGGAAAATGAACAGAGTATCCATCTGAGCAACACATATGAATATTCTAAGTTCTCAAATGCAAACTATTCAAAACAAAAATATTCAAAGCTAAAAGGCATCATTTAACATTACTTATTAAATCTAAACAAAAAAAGCTTCAACAACATATATTCAGATATTGCTGAAAAGGACATTGTGATGTTTTAAAGAATAGTGTTGGAGATAGCCTTTAATGTTCTCATATTTATGACAAATATTTGAAGTTATAAAGCAGCTATTTCCTTGAAAAAGACCTGATAGTGTCAATAAAAAATTCTAAACATTTGATTTTAATCTCGTTTTAATTTCATGTACCTTAGTTCATATTTGTATTTATTTTATATTTTTTCATTTCAAAGTTATTCATGAGCACTAACTCTTACAGAAAACAGATTCTGATCCCAGATTCAGATTCAGATTCTGAAGCATTACATAGTGTTAACAGTTCAAATAAATCCTCTCTGTAAAGTACTGAACTGAAAATGACATTATTTTAATATAGTCAGTCGTGAACTGAAGTGAGCCGGTCTAAGGCTTGAAACTCTAAGGGTGAAAAGCAGTCCCACTATGGCCCTGCTCCATTCTATTCAATTCATAAGTTGTAAGGATAAATGTAAGTGAAACTTTGGACAAGTGGTGGCAATAGAGAGTTTTAGACTTCAATTTTGCTGCGGTTCATGTTGACACTGCCCTCTATCATTGTGGCAAATTATACAACTTTCCCGCATACAGTTATGTGGGCTGCCATTCAAATCTGATGGAAGAAATGGAAGAAGAAGAGTTATAACAGTTTACAAACGCTAACAAAAACATTAGGTGCCTCCGAACCCGCAGTGCTTAGCCACTAATATACAACCAACTGTGCAATCAGATAAATTCTGTGTTGCTTTAGATAATATGATAACAGTTTAGATGTTTTACAAAATCGCTCTTGCGTTAAGAACATTTCAGTTGAAAATTGTTTCTTATAGAAAGCAGACATTTCTTTCAGTGCTTCAGATCTTATCATTAAAGACATACATACATACTTACATACTGTACTTTACCTTTAAATTAAAAACATGGCCCAGTAACAGAGTTGACACAAGGTTTACTGACCTTGATCTATTAAAAAATAAAAGTTGTTTTTAAACAATTTGTTGTTGTAGACTGCCAATGTAGGGTTTATATATATATATATATATATATATATATATATATATATATATATATATATATATATATATATATATATATATATATATATATATATATATATATATATATATATATATATATATATAATTTCTGTTTAACGGAGAGAATATTTTTTCTGTACATTTCTAAACAATAGTTTTAACAAGTCATTTCTAGTTTACTGAAATATTTCATCTTTGTCATGATGACAGTAAATAATATTTGACTAGATATTTTTCAAGACACTTCTATACAGCTTAAAGTGACATTTAAAGGCCTAACTAGGTTAATTAGGATAACTAGACAGGTTAGGGTAATTAGGCAAGTTTTTGTATAATGAAAGTTTGTTCTGTGAATTATCGAGAAAAAATACAGCTTAAAGGGGCTATTAATTTTGTCCCTAAAATGATGTTTAAAAAAAATTATAAACTGCTTTTATTCCGGCCAAAATAAAACAAATAAGACTTTCTCCAGAAGAAAAAATATTATCAGACATACTAAAATTTCCTTGCTCTGATAAACATAATTTGGGAAATATTTAAAAAAGAAGAAAAAATTTTGAAGGGGGCTAATTATCAGTATTAATAATAATATATATATATATATATATATATATATATTTTTTTTTTTTTTTTTTTTTTTACATTTTTTGGTAATATATATTACCAAAATAAAAAATAAAAGTAAACATTTTCATTACACAATAGTACATAATAGAAAATTCTGATTAATTTGGACAAAAATAAATATCATAATTTTTCCGTTATGTATTTTGAAGGAAACATTATATAAATTTTATGGCCTGTAACATCATGTGATCCATGACTATATAAACCACCAGGTGGTATTTATATATACCACCTGATATAAGTCTTGTTGTCTATCCAAGTTTTAGGAACAGCAAATAATAACTTGACTTCTAGTTGATCATTTGGTATCAGAAGTGGCTTATATGAAAGGCAACGGCCTCTAGATTACACTTATTTTACCAAAATAAAATATGATCATGCCTAAAATAAAAAGTCATGCTGCAGTGGAAAAAGAATGAATATTGTGTATGACTCCCATGAGCTTGGAGGACTGCATCCATACATCTCTGCAATGACTCAAATCACTTATTAATAAAGTCATCTGGAATGCCAAAGAAAGTGTTCTGGCAGGAATCCCAGAGTTCATCAAGATTCTTTGGATTCATCTTCAATGCCTCCTCCACCTTAGCCCAGACATGCTCAACAATGTTTATGTCTGGTGACTGGGCTGGCCAATCCTAGAGCACTTTGACCTTCTTTGCTTTTAGGAACTTTGATGTGGAGGCTGAGGTATTAGAAGGAGCGCTATCCAGCTGGAGAATTTGCCCTCTCCTGTGGTTTGTAATGTAACGGGCAGCACAAATGTCTTGATAACTCAGGTTTTTGATGTTGCCATCTACTCTGCAGATCTCTCACATGCCCCCATACTGAATGTAACCCCAAACCATGATTTTTCTTCACCAAACTGTTTTCTGTGAGAATCTTGGGTCCATGCGGGTTCCAGTAGGTCTTCTGCAGTATTTGGGATGATTGGGATGCCGTTTTACAGATGATTCATCAGAAAAAAAATCAACTTTTTGACACTTTTCCAAATGATCAACTAGAAATCAATTTATTATTTGTTGCTCTGACAACTGAGATTGACGACAAGACTTTTGTCAGATAGTGTATAGCATAACATTTTGAAAAAAAAAAGCTGAAAGAAGTAAGTTGCACCACATGTACCTGCAGTTAAAGAATCATCCATATGTCTTTTTGTTAGACAGGTGGAAATAAAAATGTGTCTATAAAACTTCTGTTCTGCTCAGACAACAGGCTCTGCTCGCTGCTATCAGTGAGAAGGATGCAAACATCGCTTTGCTGGAGCTTTCGTCCTCCAATAAGAAGAAAACGCAGGAGGAAGTGCTGGCGCTGAAGAGAGAGAAGGACAGACTGATGCATCAGCTCAAACAGCAGGTCAGTGCATTTGTTTACTCGAAAGCCCATTTAATTGCACACAGGTTTAAGGATACTGGATGTACGTTGAGCGTATTATTAAATATTCATAGGGATGATCACAGATGCTGGCGTTTTTGCTGATGCTGATTTGTTGATTCTGATATCAAGTGTTATGGCCAATGAATTTTAATTAGATGGTGTTATAGATCTATTCTACATTGTTTAAAAAGTTTAATGAATTGCTTGTGTGTTAAGTAAATGTTGGCCTCACAATAACATTGTACAGAATAAAATATTAATATTTTTATAAACTGGTTTTGAAATCTTTATATCTTTGGGTGGGGGTGTTAGTTTTTTTGATGAATCCATGTATGAACTAGGTTTATATATAACTTTAACTGTTAAGTGAAGTTTTATAAACTAATTTCGAGAGAAGCAAGTGATATGATTGAGCACTGCTGGCCACTCATCCGTAATCAGTAATAATCCAATCCGAGTGATCCCAGCTTACTCTAAATGGATCACTTTCTCTTTTTTGGAAGAATTCCCCCTTCCACCCCATTTCCTTCTTTTCCTCCCCTTTCTAAAGGGGGAACTATCGAGACCCACCTGATCTCGGATCCCCTGATATGCTTATTGACCGGGCGGGAGCCCTGGGCTCAAATATCTCAGAGCTCAGGGTTCTCTCCCGGGACAGCATGCCAAACCTGCTATAAATGCTAAGCATATCTAAGTGGGAACTTTTGAAAAGCTATTAGTTTCTAGTTATTTAAAGTTAATAGTTAGTAATAAAGTTATGGTAACTAAAAACCTTAACTTTTTTGATAACGATGCAATAATGTGCACCTTTTGTAAAGCTGCTTTAAAACAATACATATATATTATATATATATATATATATATATATATATATATATATATATATATATATACATATATATATATATATATATATATATATATATATATATATATATATATATACTTTTTCAGTTGATTATTATATCTATACAAACATTTTGCTGATATCGTCAAAAGAATAAGTAGCATAATATTTTTGCCATTGATAATAATAAGAAGGGTGGCATGGTGGCTCAGTTGTTAGCACTGTCGCCTCACAGCAAGAAGGTCACTAGTTTAAGTATCGGCTGGGCCAGGCCCGGATTGGCTAATCGGGAGGACCGGGAGAATTCCCGGTGGGCCGGTCCGTTTTTTGGCCGCGAGGGCCGGTGTCCCTAGTTCCAGAATCGGTTGCTCTCAGCAGTCACACTTTTTAAAAATTATTTATTTATTTACTTGACCACAGCCTTCTTATTCATTATTTTACCGCAGCTCTGCTCTTTTTATCTATTTTCACGTAGCCTCGTGAGCAGGATGCAAGATAATGATGATATAACTAGATAAGTCACCATTCAACATGCAGCTCTTGTTGTACAGTGGTTAGTACGTTAGATTATGACGCGGCCATCCTGGGTTCGGTCCTCGTCTGAGTAACAATTTATTTATTTTTTTTTCATTTTTATTGTTAAGACATAATACTGTAAGGTTTGTTGAACATTTAAAGTTCTAAAAGTGCTGTTTTCTCAAAAATAGACGTGATAGTGTGATTAGAAACTGAATTGGAAATAACCTTATTTTAATATAGTCAGTGGTGAACTGAGGTGGGCCGGTCTGAGGCTTGAAACTCCAGGGCTGAAAAAGAGTCCCACTCCGGCCCTGGGCTGGGCCAGTTGACAATTCTGTATGGAGTTTGCATGTTCTCTCTGTGGTCGCATGGGTTTCCTCGAGGTGCTCCGGTTTTCCCCACAGACTAAAGACATGCGCTTAGGGCTGGGCAATTAATCAAAAAGTAATTGAAATCCACATTCATAACATGTGAACAGGAAGTGTTTTTGGAGAAAAAGTTTTGAAAAAGTTTTCATCATGTCCCTTCTGGATCTCCGTACATTTAAAAACATTACAAAAGAAAAGTTATTTTAAACTGTAAAAATGATTCAAAACATGTCTATTTTTATTGCAACTTTAATCAAACTAAAACATTCAACAACGTTTCACACTTTTTCTTTTTACCACATTTTCTCCATTTCAGACACAAAGCCGAATGAAACTGATCGCCGACAACTACGAGGACGACCATTACCACCCTCACGCTCCACCTCCCCACATGCAACCTCAACCACTTCACCCTCAACCCCAACCGCAGCCGCCATACCCACAGGGCCCGCACCCCCATCAGCCTCCATACCCACACGCACCCCATCCACAGCACCCACAGCCTCCTCCACACCACCCACAGCACCTGCAGCAGCCTCAACCACCCGGCCCACACCCTCCCCGACCCCAACAGCCTCACCCTCAGCACCAACAGCACCCTCAGCACCAACAACACCCTCAGCATCCTCAACACCCTCAACATCCTCAACACCCCCAACATCCTCATCCTGGGATCCCCCCACAGCAGCAGCAGCAGCATCCGCACCTCCAGCACCCTCACGGACCTCCACCTCAGCAGGGCCCTCACCCTCCCCAGCCTATGCCCCACCCGCAGCAACACCCGCATCACCCTCCACACCCCGGGCCTCAGGGGCCTCACCCTCGACACCCTCCACCACATCACCGGGGGCCCGGACGCGGACAGCCTCATCCCGGACACAGACCTTCCCCAGACCAGGTCAGTCATTAATGTGTTTTAATTATGTATATATATTTGTATTATGTAATGCATATTACACTTCCTAACATGAGGTGTCTGTCATGTTAAATATATCATATGTGTGAGGGTGACTGGTTGGAACGAGGATAGTAAACAGCTGGATGAGGTTGTTGACAAAGGTTGGGGAGGTTGTAGGAGGCAGTTGGACTCCCTGATTGTTGGGTATCGTTTGGGGTTATTTCGATACCAGTGCTAAATCGATACTCTTAAAATGGTAACGGTGCTAAAATGGTACCTGATCAGACACTTTTGAGCCTCAAAATTATGGTGGATGACTCTATAAAAATCTTTTATTTGACAAAAAAATATATACTTTTATTGAAGTTTAATATATACATTATTTATATTTCACATTTTTGGATTGAATTGCATTAAAATATCTATTTTGATCATTTGTTTGTTTGTATGAATTTAAGATTTGCATTATGCAATTAACATTACATCAGGTTACTACTAACCAGTGGAAAGACTGTCATCAAAATCAGGAAACACTTTTTCCTAGGGTTGGGGTTTGGGACTATGTTTACATGAACTTTAGTAATCAATCATTTGCCTTAATCTGAATAAGACAATAATACGATTAAGGTGTTTACATGAGTTGCTTTTTGAATGATTCTTTCATGATCCTGTTTTATATGTTGTAGTACATAAATTGATTAGCGTCATTGCGTCACTTTGTTATCCACGTTTCCTCAGGAGTTTCATTTCATTTTGGGGGTTTAATTTTTTTTTTAACTTTAACTGCAGTTCGGCAGTTTTACTTTTATTCAGGAACATATTGTTCATGCCCCCATGACAAACTGAGGTATTGAAAGAGAATATGAAGTAAGGACTGCTGGAAGAGTTTGACCCCTCAGAAATAATTTATGCCCCCTCACTTTACATAAAGGATTGTTCACTCAAAACTGAAAATTCTTTCTGGCATTAATTACTAACACTCCGGTCATTCCAACCTACAGAACTTTTTAGATATTTTATTATATGAAAAAGCAATTAAGTTATGAAATTTCTTTTTTTTCCTTTTTTTCGAGGTAGATATACAAACTCTCTGTTTTTTTTTTTTTTTTATAACATCAGATTGTACCACTTAACTTTTTCCTAACACTGATGAATGATTGGTTGGGTAAGCGTGATGACTCGGTAAAGCTGATTTCGCTTTATTAATTTACCGGTTATACAAATAGACTTACCGTGGGTTATCTTGCATGTGTGGGCATAGTTTGATGTCTTTACCTAAAACTAAATAAAACTTGAAATAAAACTGAGAGAAATAAGGAGAATAAAATATCATTTAAACTTGTTTGGCGCTAAAGCCATGATCCATCTGCATTTATGTAAACAGTATTATTACCGGTTTTAAAACTGTGCATGTTATTATTACTAAAAAAGTATATTACTTCCTTAAATTAGTAACTTAGGCAGTAATGCAAAGTAATAATAAATAAGTGAAGCTTATAAAAGGAAGAAGAGCGACCAAAATCAGAACCAGGTCTAGTGCCCCCCTATGGGATTAAAATGCCCCCTCAGTTATGACATTCATACTGGTTACAAAGGTACCGGTGCCATAATGGTGCCGGGTTTCGGTACCCAACTCTACTGATAGTATCTCATTTGTTTTTATCACTCATTTCTCATGCGATACTTCAAAATGTGCATTAACACAGGCTGATGGAAACCCAGCAAATAAATTGCCGCAATGTGTTTTCTTCTTGGTTCCCGTTTACTCATTGAAAAAAAAAGGGCTAGAAACATGTTTCACTAAGAAATTGTAGCAAAAGTTTGCACTAATAGTCTTTAATCCAAAGTTTACTAATGCTTAGATAATTGTGAGTTAATGTGTAACATTTATTAATAATAACTACAAAATCAGCTGTAAATAAAGAGCCTAAATAAGTCAATACTAATTAAATGTTAATAAAAGTACTAATTAAAGTAAAAGTTTGACTTTTCATCAGGCAATTGACCTGTACATACTCATCACTTAATTGTAATAAAAGTCTGAAGTTATGAACTAAACAACCTGCTCTTTCACCTTTAACTAATCTAATTGTTCCCATTTCATGCTGACTGTTGAACATCTGGATTTATGTTGGGCTCAATGAAGGATGATGAAGAAGGAATTTGGGCTTAACCATTACCAAACCAAAGCAATGATGTTGTTCTATGGGGTGAGATCTCAATAACTGATCTGTCAGTGTTCTAGTTTAAAATGATTGCATTGTTTGAAAATGACCTCTTGATGATTGTGTCTATTACTATGGTCCTTCTTTATGTTCTCAGACAGTTCAGTCACTTATGGAGGAGCACAGCCATGCCATACTGATGATATTCTACATCGTTCACTCTGCCAGTCTTTACTTACAATCAGACTCACTGTTTTTTGGATGGGGCCCCATTTATTTCCATGCATTGAGGATAAAGGCGGAGCATTAGTGTGAGTGGGAGGGACAAAGCTGGAGATGAACACCTGAGCAGGTAAAAGCAATTAATACTATTTTCACTCATTTCACTCAGAGAAATGGTTGGTAACACATACACTCGCCGGCCACTTTATTAGGTACACATGTCCAACTACTCTTTAATGCAAATTTCTAATTCTTAGTCTTTCTATTTCTTAATCCACTGGGATTTTCACGCACAACCATCTCTAGGGTTTGCAGAGAATGGTCTGGAAAAGAGAAAATATCCAGTTAGCGGCAGTTCTGTGGATGCAAATAATAGTTGATGCCAGAGGTCAGAAGAGAATGGCCAGACTGGTTCGAGCAGAACGAAAGGCAACAATAACTCAAATAACCACTCGTTACAACTGAGGTATGCAGAAGAGCATCTCTGAATGCACAACACGTCCAACCTTGAGGCGGATGAGTTACAGCAGCAGAAGACTGGAAATAGAAGATTGGAAAAATGTTGCCTGGTCTGATGAGTCTCGATTTCTGCTGCAGCATTCGGATGGTAGGGTCAGAATTTGGCATCAACAACATGAAAGCATGCATCCATCCTGCCTTATCAATAAATCAATCTGGTTTTGGTGGTGTAATGGTGTGGGGGATATTTTCTTGGCACACGTCCAACCTTGAAGCGGATGGGCTACAGCAGCAGAAGACCACACCGATGCCACTCTTGTCGAGAGGGGTCTGGATGCAGACCTGGTGCAGTGCAATCTGATCTGCATCCAATGCTTATTAATGCGCTCACCCAACTCCACCCCTAACGCTATCCGTCACAGTGACGTCACTCACTCCATTAAGTGCATTGCGTCTGACATTGCATCACTGAGTGATCCAATCTCAGCTTGCATCATAAAGGCTGCATCCGATTACTATTGCTCCTTTCAGCTGAGAACAGGAAACTGAGGCTACAATTCCCCATTTAAGCATCATGGATGTGCTGCCGACAAATCTGCAGCAACTGCGTGATGCTATCATGTCAATATGGACCAAAACCTCTGAGGAATATTTTCAGCAGCTTGTTGAATCTATGCCACAAAGGATTAAGGCAGTTCTGAAGGCAAAAGGGGATCTAACCGGGTACTAGTAAGGTGTACCTAATAAAGTGGCCGATGAGTGTAAAGTTTTGAAGTAGAATATTGGAGCATGCCTTTCCTATAAAATGTGCTCCAATAATCTTTCATTTTCAATGATACTGACAATGATTAGTTTTTCATACTTATTCATACTTAAACTTTACTGTAAATCATACATTAGTTTCATTTTTGTCTGTTTTTAGTTGATTAAAATGTGTTTATAATGTAATTAGGGCTTTACATTTATCAAAAAATCTTAAAAAATGTATCATAGTTTCCACTTAAAATTGAAGCTTTTGTTACATTAATAAAAGTAAGAAATGTCTTTTACTGTAAATGGATCTTTTGACAATAAATACTGAAAATTAAGCTTTAAGAAAATTCTATTATTATAATTTTATATATGTATTATTATAATATTATAACTTACAACAAGGGTGTAGAATCAGCATAGACAGAAGGGACATGTTCCCACCAATATCCAAAATTATGAAAATGTCCCCACTAATAATGGATTTGCCTCCAAAATAAAATGAAATGATGTCGAAATTTTCCAGTCAGATTTATTGTGCAAGACTCAGGTGAGACATGGACATAAGCAGCTACATTTCAAAGAAAAGTGTCATTCGCTTAAAGTCAACTTCAATACAAGTCCACAATAATAGTTACCATGGATGTGCAATTGTTTCGATTTTGGCCTCCTCGACGATTATGAAAAAGCAACAATCGAGATAAAATGCTTATTGTGTCATATGCCTCCTCTTTCCAGAAGTCTGCATTAATTCCTTGTCAAAGTAAAATCATGCAAATAACTTTCGCACCATTAGACATGCTTTAGTTATTGTTGTTTTTATTACCAATTGTATTTGATTTATTTATCTATTTAAGTTTTTTTTAATGTGAAATAGAACATGTGCTGTTCTGTTTGCACTCCTAGAGAAGGAAAAGAACATAGACATGTGAAGTCATCTTTTAGCATAGAATGCATAAACAGCAATATTATACTTGCAAAAATTGGTTCAGATGCGGTGGTAAGTGATTGTGCACAAACTAGCCTTCAGTAAACAGAAGTCTTTAAACTACCTTTTTGTCAGACATTCCTTTAACTTTACGTTATACAGTGCATCCGGAAAGTATTGATAGCACTTCACTTTTTCCACATTTTTTTATGTTACAGTCTTATTCCAAAATGGATTATTGAAATTATTAAAAATTCTACACACAATACCCCATAATGACAATGTGAAAAAAAAAGATTCTTTGAAATTGTTTAAAATTTATTAAAAATAAAAAACCTGAAAAATCACATGTACATCAGTATTTGCAGCCTTTGCCATGAAGCTCTGAATTGAGCTCAGGTACATTCTGTTTCCACTGATCATTCTTGAGATGTTTTAGCAGCTTAACTGGAGTTCACCTGTGCTAAATCCAGATGATTGGCCATGATTTGAAAAGGCATACACCTGTCTATTTAAGGTCCCAGGGTTGACAGTGCATGTCAAAGCACAAAAGCACTCCCCACCTGGAATTTGGCAAAAGGCATTTGAAGGACTCTAAGACCATAAGAAACCAAATTTTCTGGTCTGATGAGACTAAAATTGAACTTTGGAGTGAACGCCAGCCGTTACGTTTGGAGAAAACCAGGCATCGCTCATCACCAGGCTAATACCATCCCTACAGTGAAGCATGGGGGTGGCAGGATTATGCTGTGGGGATGTTTTTCAGCAGCAGGAACTGAAAGACGAAAGGGAAAGATGAATGCAGCAATGTACAGAGACATCCTAAATGAAAACCTGCTTCAGAGTGCTCTTGACCTCAGACTGGGGCCACGGTTCATCTTTCAGCAAGACAATGACCCAAAGCACACTGCCAAAATATCAATGGAGTGGCTTCACAACAACTCGGTGAATGTCCTTGAGTGGACCAGCTAGAGCCCAGACATAAATCCTATTAAACATCTCTGGAGAGATCTGAAAATGGCTGTAAACCTTTGCTTCCCATCCAGCCTGATAGAGCTTAAAAGTTATACTGCAAAGAAGAATGGGCAAAAATTCCCAAAGACAGGTGTGCCAAGCATGAGGCATCATATTCAAAAAGACTTGAGGCTGTAATTGCTGTCAAAGGTGCATCAACAAAGTACTGAGCAAAGGCTGTGAATACTGCTGTACGTGTGATTTTTCTGGTTTTTTATGTTTAATAAATTTGCAACAATTTCAAAAACTCTGTTTTTCACATTGTCATTATGGTGTATTGTGTGCAGAATTTAAGGAAATAAATGAATTTAATCCATTTTGGAATAAGGCTGTAACATAAAAAACTGTAGAAAAAAGTGAAGCGTTATCAATACTTTCCGGAAATCAACACCCTTGACCCACAATATTACAGTTTTACTGTATTTTTAACCAAGTGAATGCAGCTTCGCTAAGCTTCATGCTGACACTCTCTTAAAAATAATTATTTCCTTTTTTTAACAGATGATTAAAAAAAAATAATGGAGAGGAAGTCTGGACAGAAACAAAGTCACTTTCAAGTGCAGATCTTTTTCTAAGACATTTGCCTTGACGACTCTCCGTGCTCAGTCAACACTGGAGAAACTGCAGCTGCTCCTTGTTGCCTGGTTTCCAGTGCATGAGTCCGCCTCTTCTCTACACTGCCCCGCCCACTCTCATTTAGCTCCACCTCTTCAATGAGTCAGTCTGCGCTCATTCAAGCCTTGATTCTGTCAGCCTTGTTCATTTTCTTATTTTATATGTGGAAATCCAATGTAAAATACTCATTTTTTTACAAACACATCTGCAATCGTAAAGGGCAAATACTGCCTGCCTTCGATACTTTTTGTTGTATTACATGTGCTTACTTACATGCTTTGAGAATGCACTACAATATGCATGTCATTCTGTGCCACATTTAGCCTCCATTGTTGGTACTTTAGTGTATATCGGACCTTCTAGAGTTGTCATGTCTTACCTCAGTTGATCCTCCGAGGTAGTTTACTCTATGCATAGTTCAATTTTGTCTTATAACGCACATTATATCAACACACACCATGCTAACTCAAATTGCCCTTTTCTTTTTGCTTGTGCTCCACTCAAATCCATCAGGCCTGGTTTGCATACAAGCTCTTATGCACCTCCAGCCCTCACAACAGGGAACGTTTCTAATGGTGCTTCAACTGGTGCTCAGGCCCAAAAGAGATGGAGACAGCCATGGCGACAAGCATTTCGGACATTAGCTGATCCGTAACACTCCATGCATCCATGACACCATCATAGGGCAGATCATTGCAATGTGTTCCTGGGCTACCGCTGCAGGTTGTAGCAGGGATGAGTTTATCAAGACGTCTGTTGACGAAAGGCCAGTCCACTCCACTCCGAGTGTCCCACAAAGAGATTGTCCTTCCTCCTTTAACGAACCGTCCCACCAGGTAATGGCGGAGTCACCTCCGATTTCTCGTAACGTCTCAATATGGTGGCGAGTGCCTATTTATAAATAGATAGTAGATATATATAGATAGAGAAATACTAGCTTAATAAAGTGCGTCTACTGTGGTCAGACTATTGTGTCAGAAATCGAAGGAAATTTATTTTCCGGCGTGTTTGAGTCGTGTGTGTTGTCATTGTCTGTTTGGCCTTTGCAGTGCTCCCGTTACAAGATCTTGGCACTGGGGTCTATGCAAAAAAATCAAAACAAAAAAAAAATGGAACAAACCAAGAGGTCTTTTGCAGGATGTATTAAATGTGTGAAATCTAGTTTCTTGATCTTCAGCTCGAGGAAGTGTTGTATACTATATGTTGCACCTCACAAAATGAAAAAAAAAAGTATTTAAATGACAATGAGATTAGCAATGCAGTGGACTGAAACTTGCACTTGAGGGTAACGGCCTGTGCACATCGGGAT